GAGTACATAGCAACATGCTTTGAATTAGCAATACTTGTGTTCACTGGGAAAGGAGAAGGGAAATTACATACTTTGTTGGGGTCAATGCCGTTGACCTGCCGTAGCTGGTCAATTGTCCACTGTGACCTTTTTACAAAGGCAGATGATCCTTGGAACTGCTTCACCTTTGTGATTGAAACATGGGATGGTTTCTTGTTCGTCACTGTAGAAACAAAAGCCAAACAAGAGTAAGGCCTAATGGAGCAATAATTAAAACAACATTAAATTTCAGAGTACGAGGTTTCTGTGTAACCTGTAGACCCCATGCACATGATTCCCAGACAAGTTTTGATTAGGAAAATTGGACAGCTCAGGTCATCACATGTGGAATATTAGTCAAGCAAAAGTCACGAGCTTCCTTTCTGTAGGCGGCAGAAACAAAGGGATCCATTAACAATGATTACTTCGCTTCTAGAGCCAACAGCAACAGAGACCATGATAAACATTTCCTATTAGAAGACACAGCCTAACCCTGAACAGATACGCCCTGTAAACATGGCTTTTTTATTATTCATACCAATCTGTGTGCAGTAATCTTATATACAGTAAACTGCGCTATAAATTTCTGTTGTGCTCTAACAACATAATGCCATATTTTTTACTACACTACTTTGAAAAACATAAAGTCTTGGCTATATTGTTTCTGTCACCAGAAAACAGTGTGGGACACAGCTCCGGTCTCTGCACTGATGTGATGTATTTCTTCTGCACTGCTGACTAAAACTAATTGAAAGACATAATATGAGCTCGGTGGGGGTGGGGTGAGGGGCATTTAAACAACTCGCCAAAAACAAATGAATAAAATATAATCTAAAAGTGCTTATTAGGTGCTGGGGATTTTTTAAATCAGTAACTTTAGTATCTACAAATCAGAGTTAATTGCCAGCTGGTTGATAGCATATTCTTTCAGGTATTTTATGTGTAGTTTAGTATATATGACTAAGGCTTCACTCAAACTCCTGTCCTCAGCTTCCCCTCCAGTTATCCAAGCATTGCAGAACATATGTTTATATTGCACTTCTGTGTTTAACTGTAGGCTGGCATTTGAGAATAAGACCACCAGATTTCTGTAGCGCGTCAAGGCTTTTAGTTTGGACAAAATGTTCAAACTAAAAGACTGTATTTTGGAGCTCTGTGTCATTCTCAGGGACAATTGGTCCTGCGCTGCTTTTTTAACCCAGGCAGCAAAGGTCTGCTTCCGCTCTCTCACATCCTCCATTGTGTCATGTCAGAGAGATGGAAGTGTGTGGGTCACTTTCTCTGCATTCTCTCCAGTTTTTTACCCTACACTTCTTTAATAAAAAAAAAAAAACAAAAAAAAAAACCCCAAGACTATGCTGTTCCATTTTCCCTATTGTTCTGGTTCACTTTTTGAAAGACTTTCCTCACCCGTTTCTGGAAATGGAAAATAAAGGTAGGGCTGAATGTCAGGCCAGTAAGCAAACTCCCATGAGATGAGAGATGTTTGGATACGTTTTGTGTATCCATTTAGACAGCTGCAGTTCATACTTGAGTTGCTGGCCCGGGTGGAACAGACAGATAGATGAAGACAAGCATTTCTTCTTCTTTCCTACAACACCTTCCTCATCTTTTCTTCGAGGATTTCAATCAGATAAAGAATCACAATCATGATTAACAGATGAACAGAATGATCACATCTGTCTTGTGTCACAGTGAAGGCTAATAGGAGCTCTTGAAAGCAGAAAATTTCATAAAGCAGACGACAGGCTCGGTGTAATGAACCAATGTGCTGAAGGGTAGAAATGCAGAACCTAAGGTCATTCACTTCCCAGCGAGAATAATTTATCCTTTACTTACACTGGTGGCAGATGATAGGCTATAATACAGAGCTACTACTCTCCTCAAAATTATCAAGTAGAAATTGTAGAAAATGGCCTACTCGTCATGGCGCAGGAATTAATCCTTATTTTCTATTATCAATGAATGTCATTTTCCCCCCGAATTAATTCAAATGTCCTTTCTAAAAAATTTTAATTTCAAATTTATATCCATCTTAAAATGGGGAAAAGTGGGTTATCCTTATCTTTTCAGCATTTTGATTAATACGGTGCAAAAATCTTAAGCCACTCTTCATTTCTCTGTGCTCTGCTGGAAAATGGGAATGGTGCAATGATATATTGAAATGTGAAACATACACTGAAATCCAGTGTATTGGGCAAAGATTCAATGGCAATGAATTTGAAAGTCAGTATTTGGTTTAAATGCCTTCAACGCAGCCTGAACTGTCTTAGGAAAGTGTTCTTTTAATTTCTTCAGGGAGTCTTCAGGAATAGTTCTCCGAGCCTCGTGACGGACAAAGCTCCTTTTTGGATGTTGGCTACTTTTTGTTCTGTTCTCTCTCTAGATGATCCCACAATGAGTCGATAATGTTGAAGTCTGGGGAGGTCAACAGGGTCAATGGGGAGGTCAATGCATTACTTAGTGTTCCACTGTGTGTTTTTCTATCCAGGTACTCACTTACTGCATTGGCAGTGTGTTTGGGCTCATTGCCATGATGAAAAATGAAGCCAAGCAGATATTTTACAGATAGCATTGCATGACAATAAAAATCTCTTCTGTGTTTCTAATTTAATCAATTTCGTTATTTCCCCATGTAGCGTCACATGCATCTTCTCAAGTCCTGGGTCAGGTCTTTGCTATATTTTTCTTATTTCTCAAGGGTATGACTTTTAAAATCCTGTTCACCTGCTGTAAATAGTTTTTCAGGCCTGCCACCTCTTCTGTTCTATTTCATTTCTCTTTCTCTTTTTTATTTTGTTTAAGGACACAATGCACACCCTGCTGAGACACAGGTCAACAGGTCTTTCAGAATCACTTTGTTAGTGCAAACATTCTTTGTTGTTATTGGCATTTTCAATAGATTTAACCAAAGAAATGTGAACGAATGTGTTTTTGCAATAGATACAGTTCAAAATTGGTCAAGTTTTCTGTTATGTGAACACAACACTGGTCCATTTCCCTTGAGTTAGGTGCCTTTTTTATGCTTGAATGGTTCACAGGTCATAGGCTCCAGCGCCCCCTGCGACCCTGAAAAGGAGAAGCGGAAGCGAATGGATGGATGGTTCACAGGTCAGTGTTAAGTGGAGTTACAAGGACTGGACTAAAATTGAGCCAATGTTCAAAAGATTTTTTTATTAAACTTGAATTTTAGATGCAAATACAAAGAAATTAAGGTTGGCTCAAGATTGATAAATTACTAATCTATCAAATGTTAAGCACAATCTGTTTCTTTATTTAGCTGAAGATGCCAAGCTCCACAATGAAATGTGACTAGAAATCCTTTTCACAAAATGTATTCTGACTCAAAGCTGAACAGTCAGTCACAGCAGGAGAATGCAACATGCTGAAAAGACACCAAACACATCCACCAACAGTAGCTTTACAATATACTGAAGCAGCCACTGATGTCAAGGCTCATTGATTGTAAATTTCTGCACCCACAGCATACTGTGTAGAACACAAACGATGATAAAAAATAAAATCATGTATATGAATGAGTACGACCCCTGAAGCCTGAGCAGCTCTGACTGACAGATTCTTGCATATACACTGACAAATCACTGGCTTTTCTAGTCAGGCTGCTTTCAAAGTAATCACACTGACTCCAGGATTAGAATAACGCAGAAAAAAAAAATTATATGTCACATGAGAAATGCACACCAAATGCATACTTAATCATCCCTGGTTCACATGAAGAGGGGAGAAAAATTACAGCAAATTTAATTGGGTGGCACTGTTTGCCTAAGTATCTTTTTCACTATACGATGACATTGCAATGTGACTGAACTACTGAAATGTGTGAAAGAGAGCCGCTGTCTCAAGGCCATGGAGCTAAATTGTCAAGGCATCAACACAGAGATCTTAATCAAACTGCCAGACACCTTTGAGCCTCTCAAATCAATTTCATATTCAGCTGTTGACTCCCACCTTGTCTGAGTGGCTCCCTGGAATATTAAAACAATTACTGAAAGTTCGAAGAGCTGGGGTTATTGAAATAGCAATCAAGGACGAGAAAACCTATACTGAAGCTCTTGTAATAAATGAACTTTAAACTGCTCTCATAATAAATATATTCACTTAGACACCAAGTCTGGAGAACAGCACACTCTAGCAAAGTGAAAAAGTAAGGAATTTATGAAGCATGTTGAACCCATTTTATCAATACTTAATATCCAGTGTCAGTAAGCTTGTCTTTTTGTACAGTATCATGTATCACTGTTTTTCTGATTATAAAACTAAAAAAAAGATTTTTTTAGATGAGTGGTTATGTTGGGTTTCTCAATTATTCTGTTCACTGAGTTTGAGTTATTGTGATAATACAAAGATGGATGAATACATTATCCCTTCCTGAACATAAAATGAACAATCTGTAATGTGATCCATTTCTCTCAATTTTACTGCAGGAGTCACACCCTTAAAACATTATTTGTATCACAAGCTGAGACCGAACAAATAACACCTGACTAACTAGTGCAAGTAAAAGCCAAGAGATGACCACAACCACTGAAAAGCAGCCAAACACATTGTTTCTATGTGGGCTGGCTATCAGAGGAAGGCCATGCTGAGGTTCCTGTCTGACTATTTTCTCATGCTCTGATGGTGACATGCTTTCACTTCCTCCAGTGGATCCCTTGTTGTGTTTGGCTATGTGCAAGTAGTGCTGCCTGAAGGGAAACCCGTACTGTACATTTCACCGACTGCAGAGATCAGAGGAAAAATTCCTGGAATCAACTTAACTTCAAGGAAACATGACCCCAGCTGTGGTTGTTAATAGAAATGTGAGCATGAGATGGTGTTCTGGCACAGGCTGTAAACGACATAACAGATCATGCAATGATTGTGTGCATTACCGATTGCATATCGGCATTGTTGGAAATATCAAATAGAGTACTATGAAAACAAATGTTATCCAGAAATATTTTGGTAAACTAACAACATTATAACAGCTGGAGAAAATGAAAAGAGCAGACAACAAAGTGCCACCCACATAGGCATAAAATTAAAACCTTCCTTCCCTTATAAAAACACAGCATCATCGTCATGTCAACACTGACACTTATCAAAAGCGTGCAGCCAAAGGCAAAGAGCATCAACAGTTTGGCCCAGCACAGCAAAGCTTTGAAAACTAAAAAAATCTGAGAA